CATATCCAGGACTGAGTTTTTCTAATCGCAAAAATTGTGAATAAGACCAACTTCGAAGCACTACTGTCACAATTGCAAGGCAAACTGGACAAAATGGCAATTATTTTAAAGTTGCCAAGGAAAAGCTCTTGTGATTGAAGTAAAATTTTTGTAAACTGCACCTCCCCCTTAAGTCAATATAATTGTATTTGAAGTGTGCACACTTCTTTTCCTTTACAAAAATGTTAATTTAACTCCCAGTAATAATACTGTAAGTTACATCAATATTAATAATTAATATAATACTAAATATTAATTTTTAAAATTATTCTTGTTAACATCTCACTTTGTTATACTGTTTATTGCATAATTTCAATTTATTTCTTTTTACCCAACAATGGATGATGTTCATCCGAAATATGTTTTGTTTTCATTAAACAAAATATAAAAAAAATTAACTTCAAAAGCACTATGCGTTCATCAAAGCAATCAATTTTAAAAATTTAACAATTGTTGCTAAATTTATTTACTAAGTATCATTTTACTTTTTTTGTTTATAATATTGCAATCATCGCCTTTTGGCATATTGTGACAATTAAAATATTAAAGTATACCTTTTTTGCGTTTTATTAGATTTAATTTTTTTTATTTATAACAAACATCAACGCAGCTCTTAGAGGAGCCGTTTGTTTAAGCTTGAACTAAACTAACTTAGTTCGGTGGAACGATCTCTGCTATGTGGGACAACATGTGATTGAATCTGCCTCCCTGGTTCGCCTCTGGATGAAGTTTACTCCAGCTGAACTTGTCAAGGTAACCTGGTAGTTTGGCTCTTGTGGTCCCATTCATTACCTTCAGCTTCCTTTTCACTTGACCCCAGAGTCCCTCTATGGTGTTGCAGTGTGCTCCAGTATAAGGGTTGACGAAGTTTTCATAATGGTTGACCATCAGGTGGATGTAACCTACATTGTTTAGGTTGAAGTATGGCGAGAACTCACGGTGCCAAGTTCAATGAACTCGCGCACTAGTCTGGTTACTATGGTCTCTCGTTAGCGATCTGGAACACGAGAAACTAGACTTCGCCCAATATCTCACTCTACCATTCCAAATACTCACTGGCCCT